CTTACCACATTCCTGCTCCCAAAAGCCACGCGTGGCCAGGGCTACCACACTAGACAGCACAGGCATGGAAACTTGCAGTAAATGTCCCTGGACAGGCCTGCCAGGGGACCAGTCTATGTGTGGACAGTGAGCTCGGGGGTTGGGTGGCTGTGGGGTTCTGCCCAGCACTGGGGACCCCTCCACCAGACCAGGCTCCCTCAGCCCCAGAGTCCACTCCATCCTCCCCCTTGGGGCACCCGGAACCCAGGCTGAGGAGGGGGATGTGGGAGAGATTCGCTGAGGCCCAGAGGGGCTCTCCCCTATCTTGTACCAGTTTTATCACGAGTACGTCCTCTTGGGGAGCAACTCGGCTCACACTGGAGGAGGAGCGTCCTTCAACCTCTCTCTGACCACAGAACATTCTGGAAACTACTCCTGTGAGGCCAACAATGGCCTGGGGGCCCGGTGCAGCGAGGCGGGGCCCTCAGTGCTGTAGGTGGGCTACCTGAGCCCAGGCTCTCCTTCCAGAAGACAGACCCGAGGTGCCAGCCTGTGAGAAGGAGCATATGGCTGTGGTTGGCTTGATGCTGGGTTTTCTCCATGACTTGTGCTGACTTGGAGACAGGAGCCTGTGCAGGGTGCCAGGCAGTGGTTTCTCTGCCCAGGGCTGTCTTGAAAGAAGCATGCTACATTCCAGTCACAGGACAAATGAGCGACTGTCCAAACAACCACCCCAAACCAGGGCAAGACCCCCTGGGACCCTTCCCGCAGCCTCTGGGGCTTCTGCCGGGTCCCAGCCCCCAGAGCCTCCACAAGAGAACAAGAGCCACACTCTGGCTGCAGTCATGGGGATGCTGATTGGGGTCCTGGCCACTCCACTCTCCCATCTACACTTAAGTCCCCTGAGTAACTCGGATGCACAGCCAGTTTGGGCCAATTAGCAAAACTGACAATAACGACAGCAAATACTGAGTGCTTGCCATTGGCCAGATCCTGTCACCATCACTTAGCACACACAGAACTAATTTAATCTTCATTTGGGAAGTATTATTACTCTTTTCCTCACTTCATAGACACAGAAACCAAGGCACAGGGACGTTGAGCAACTTCCCTAAAACAACCCAGCCAGTAGCTGGCCGAGTAAGCCTGGCCCCAGAGCTCGTGCTCTGATGCACCACAGGCTCCGCGTAAAGAGGACCCTGCAGCCCCCAGAAGCTAAGCGACTCACTTGGAGAAACCAGCCAGTAGCCAAATCATTCAGTTCTCCAGGTGGAAAGCCCCTGCTGGCCGTCCCGGGAAGATAGGTGTCTCGGACATTTTTTATTCATTCTGCTAACATGCACGAGGGACAAGCTCTCTGCCGGGTGCTGGGCCAGGAGTGAGAGACACAGCAGGATGGACTGGGGCACCTACGGCCAAGAAGAGCGTCGGCCGGTGGTCCCACGACGTGTGGACGCCCGTCCTGACCACACACTCCTGGGCAAGAAGCCCGCCTGACCATCTCCTCAGGTGCTTGAAATGAGTGCACCCCTTTGGTGCACTCCGTCCCGGAGACCCAGCTCGCCCATGGCCAACACTGACGCTCTGCATGCCCACAGCTGAGCCTCTGTGTCTGCTCCACAGGCTGGGCTGGCTCATTTCTTCCATGTTTGCTATGCACGTACCACGGGCTAAGGGTGCCGGGATTCTCCCGCTCGAACAGTCAAAACAGGAAACGTGGGAATGTCTGCAACATAGGAATCTGAACATGCCGTGTTCTCTATCCCTTACCTTTTCTGGCACTAAGCAGGTGCTGTACCTCCTAGAGCAACCCCTTCTGCCCCCTCTTCCCTCCATCCCTGTCTAAGTCTTACCTCTTCGTATTCCAGCCCAGTGTCACCATCTCTGAGGAGTCTTGTTGACTGTCCTCCCCTCCCGACTTTTGGAAATAATGATGAAACATTGTAATTCTTTTTTTTTTTTTAATTTTTTTAATGTTTTATTTATTTCTAGGAGAGAGAGAGAGAGACAGCATGAGCAGGGGAGGGTCAGAGAGAGAGGGAGACACAGAATCTGAAACAGGCTCCAGGCTCTGAGCTGGCAGTCAGCACAGAGCCCGACGCGGGGCTCGAACCCACGAACCGCGAGATCATGACCCAAGCGAAAGTCGGACGCTCAACCGACTAAGCCACCCAGGCGCCCCAAAACATTGTAATTCTTGATGATCATAACAGCTAATCCTTACAGCACTTACCATGTGCCTTGTACGATTCTAACTGCTGGTTGTATGTTAACTGATTGTATGCAGTATTGCTTACATATGAGGACTGTAGGCACAGAGAGGGTAAGTAAGTTAGTCAAGGTCACACAGCTAGTAAGTGATAAAACCTAGTTTTGTTTTGTTTTTTTAATTTTTAATTTTTTTACAAATAGTTTATTTAAATTTTTAAATATTTTAAAATGTTTTTTTAAATTTATTTCTGAGAGAGAGAGAGAGAGAGACAGCATGAGCAGGGGAGGATCAGAGAGAGAGGAAGACACGGAATCTGAAACAGGCTCCAGGCTCTGAGCTAGCTGTCAACACAGAGCCTGATGCGGGGCTCAAACCCACAAACCGTGAAATCATGACCTGAGCTGAAGTTAGATGCTTAACCGACTGAGCCACCCAGGTACCCCTAAAACCTAATTTGAACCCAGAAATCTGACTCCATAATCAGTACAAAGATGCTGCAGATTTAAGACAATTATTTTATGACATATTTCAGAATACAAGAAGGAAACACTGCATGAAATGTATACTAAAGCCCCGCGTTGATAATAATTGATATATATGCACATAATTGCATCTCATTTTCTTCCTGGACATTACATTTGACTTTTGTGTCCAAAACTCCCTCTCACTCAGAGTGCGAATCTTCTTCTGAACCACTTTGGCCAACAGCAGTATACACTGGTACTTTTAGATGTGATGAACAGTTTCCAGCATATCAGAGAACACCAAGCTTTGTCTAAGGTCAAAGTTGCATTTCTTAGCTTGGTTAGACCATGTGTTCCTGAAAGTTAAGTATCTTTTCTGGGACATGAGCTTGATAGGTTAGAAAGATACTTACACTATCTATATCTTTGAAGGAAATGACCATGAACAATGCTATTGAGAAAAGTTTCCAACTGGGTGATTATTTTTCTCAGAACTTGACTCAGACCTTTCCAGCTTAGGTTAGTCTTGATCATATGAGGCATGGGGGTTCCTCCTGACAGACTCACTGCATTACCCGTGCACACGTGGATCAACCAGCAGCCTACCTGCCTTGCAGGACACTGGGTCTTTCTCATTACTGGATCCCCGACACCGTCTACCTTTTAGCCCCTTGCCAGCCTTTCTCATGTCCCTCATTCACTGTCCTGGGGACTGTCCCACGTCTCTGTGCTTTCAGGAACCTTCCCAGGAGGACCAGGAGCCCGTGTAGAGCCAGGGGGAGTGCCGCCGTTAGGAAGGGCCTCCCCTCTGTGAGGTGAGGCTTGGAGGGATGCCTTCGACAGCCCAGATCCTGCCGAGACTCACTGGGTATCGAGGTGGGTAGGCAGCCAGCACCCTGGCCATGCCCTCAGATGGCTTGTGACCATTTCTGGAACATCCGTCAGGGACAGGAGGTGTGAGTGAGCTTCGGAGTGAAGCCTCTATCTTCGCAGAGCTGGGGGAGGTAGCTGCAGCCTTGGCCCAGGCGGAGAGTGTGGGTCTCCGCTGGTGGTTTCCTCCAGAGCCATTGCTGTGGGGCCTCTTTCCTGTCTTGGGAGAGAGGCAGGCCCTCTGGGGGATGCAGGCTGTGAGAGGCTCATTGCTATCAGGGCTCATTCACGGCCTCCCGGGTGGAGGCCCCGAGGGGGGGACAGCTCAGAAGGAAGCTCTCTGTTCCTAGCTTTTCTCTCCCAGGGACTCAGTCTCCAAATGACATATGTGTCTCAGTGCACCTGACACAGTGGGGCCTCAACAGTCACTACCTTCCTTTCTCTTCGTGACTCTTTCCCTCCTCAGGATCCCCTGTGGCTTAATCCGAGGGCAGACTCAACGGAGCCACAGAAGTGAGACATGTCCTGCAGGCGTGTCTGACTGTGGCCAGTCAGGACACCCACACACTTTCTCCCTGGAGTCTTTAGCCGCGGCTTCAAGGAAAAGGACAAATACTCACTAGGAAGCTGACGAGGTGGTTGGTGTCTCAGGGAAGGTTCTGAGTCTGCCCAGTCCATGATCCACTCATGACCCAGACCCAAACACTCAGGGACCAGGGCTTGCCTGGACGACCTGCCCTTCCTGGTTCCTTTGTTCCCTCGTCCCCTCACCCAAGACCAGCCCTCCTGCACCCTGAGGTGAAGCCAGCCCAGCCAGGACACAGAGGGGACACAAGCCGAGGGGAGCCGGGTGAGTAGGAGCCACCCATGAGCATCCAATCAATCCTGAGTTCTAGAAATTTCCAATAGTTATGAAATAAGGCTTTCATATCAAGAAATACAAAAATAATTGAGACAAATGTGAATCCGTCCTTACAGAATGGTTCACTGCAACTCTTCCTAAAAGCAGACACCTGCCTCTTTCTTTTATGCCAAATATTGCAGTCCCTGGTCCCCCAAATACCACAGACTGTCTCTCCCCCTGCCCATCATCTCTATGCCCCTAGAGGCTCCTGGATTACAATCAAAATGAAAATTCTTGGAATGTTCCCAGAAACTCGTTTGGGCAAAGTACACAAGACACAGATTTCTGAGTTAAAAGAGGGAATGAGGGGAATAAATCTTAAGAAAGAGGTATGATGTGACCCATCAGCTCCTGGTGGTTGCAGAAATAATAAAAACGTCACAAACAGACAAGATGGGGAAAAAACCAAAAAGAAGGAAGGAGAGCCTGACAAAGTACGTGGGTGAAATCAAGATGCGATGGTGAATTTTACGTGTCAACATGACTGGGCTCGGGTTGCCCAGAGAGCTGAGAAACATTGATTTCAGGTGTGTCTGGAGACGTCGCAACTGAATCAGTAGGTGGAGTAAAGATGGCCGCCCTCACAGGTGAGAGCAGGCTCCACCCACTCTGCGGAGGGCAGATCAGAACAAGGTGAGGAAGGGGATTGAGGGGCACATCTGCACTGCCGGGTCTTGGGTTTTGGAATTGGACCAGGACTCATACCATTTGCTCACGTGGTTCTCAGACCTCAGGCTTGCGGATGGAAGATTGTGAGGCTTGTCCGCACAGAGAAACCCACAGTATGGATTACGCTTCCATAATGGCAGGAGGCAATGCCTCAAAGCAAACCTCCTTCCTCTGGAGAACCCTGATGGATATAAGCCACAAAGAATAATCTAGAACAATGAAAAAGATGACATGTTTGGAACAAGAGCATCTGGACTCCACCCAGCAGCATGGAGTCTGTGCTTTGGGGCTGGTAACCCTGCCGGGCATTCACCAGTAGGTTACAAACCTGTAAAGATCCCAACACGAGGTGAGGGTGTGAGAATCTGTGGTTGACACGTGGTTAGGAGAGATCAGTGCAGAGACTCAACATTAACAGCAGCGGTTCACGGGGTGTATTTGGGGACAGACTCTTCCCCTCTCTGTTTTTGGAAGACAAATGCCCACTTTTTTGCATCTTCTTCAGTTTCTTTCAAAAGGTTTCTCTAGTTTTTGGTGTATAGATTTTTCACCTCTGGGGTTAGGTTTATCCCTAGGTATTTTATGGGTTTCGGTGCAATTGTAAATGGGATCGATTCCTTGATTTCTCTTTCTGCTGCTTCATTATTGGCATGTAGAAATGGAACCGATTTCTGTGCATTGATTTTATATCTTGTGACTTTGCTGAATTCATGGATCAGTTTTAGCAGTTTTTTGGCAGAATCTTTTGGGTTTTCCATATGGAGTGTCATGTCGTATGCGAAGAGGGAAAGGAAGAACAGTGAGTCGGCACAAGAAAAGGACAATACCTGGGCAGGAGTGCTGACCGCCACGCACGCTCTCTGGGCCACAAGCCTCTTACCTGCAACGGCAGCAGTCACCCCATCAAGGAGGGTTGTTGGAGGATTGAATGAGACCTTCTAAGAAATGCCTGTTGCAAAGAAGGTATATGATCAATGGTAAGTTTAATCCTGGATCATTGTTACCATTTTCATAATGGGAAGTATTGTCTCTCGTAGCCATCCCCAAACCAACCCATCAGGAAGTCTCCAGTGAAGGTACCCGGGTTGCTCCCGCTACATTCTCCGTGCTGGGTGCCCAAACCCAGGCACACACAGGACCCTGCGTGCCTTCATCTACACTCATCCAGTCTTCAGAGAGAATTTCAGTCAGTACTCTTGGGTCTAACAACAGATACTGACTCTGGATCCCTTCTCAAAAGGGGGATGCTTCACTGGAAGTATATTAGGGACTCGGAAACTGGGGGAATGAGACTTAGAAGATGAGTAGGAACAAATGGGGGCCAGCATCCCAAACATCGGGAGCCACAGCAAGTGTCCTGTGACACAAATGTGTCCCAGCACGCTGCCCCGTCCACGTTCCTGGCCCCACAGCCACCAGCAAATTCCTGGGCTAGAGGTCTAACTGGCCGAGCCCAAGTGGCAAGCCCACCACAGGCTCAGGAACAGGGGATGAAGAGTCTCCTTCCTGGGGCTTTTAAAATGAGAGGCTGCGCCACACCCACCAAGCACGTATGTATGTCAGGTGAGTCCAAATGCCTATGGGAAATGTGTGGTACCCGAGACATCACATAAGTAAGTAAACAAGAATGTGCTGAAGACAGTAACTGAGAATCTGACCAACTGGCCCACAGCCCAGCTTCCCCTCTTAAATTTCAGAGATTGCCCTTGCAGATAAAATTCTTTAAACTTCTACTTTTTAAAATTTCTTCATCTTAACCTCATGGGAACCCCCATTACCACAACTCTGACATCACTTTCTGGGCACTAAGCTTCTCCAAATCAGTGAGTGGTACCATGTGTATTCCCATCTCTACCCCTGGACATTTGCATGAAAGGGCCATGGTCGGGCTGATTCCAGCTCCACAAGTAAGTGAGATGATTTGCCAACAGCCTGCCCTAGCACCACACCCTCTCACCCTCTACAAGCACACAGCTGCATGCACTGCATTCCTTTCCTGCCTGTGAAACTTGGACATTAAAAGAACTTGAGTCTCAGAAGTTCTGGGTTCTATATGTTCTAATTACAGACATATTTCATTAACCAGTTCAAATATTTCATTGACTTTGTACTTTTTACTCTGAAGTGGGAGATTTTTTTCTTTAATTAAAAGTGTTTTGTGGTTTGTAAAATCAATACACTTGCTGGGGTGACTCACTCTAACATAGGAGAATCAATTTCTTCTTGTTTCTTTCTTAATTTACGCTATTATTAACTTCCATAGACCAATAATGACCCCAATCCAGCTCTTGCTCAACACACATGGTGAGATACATTTTGTTTTTAATTCTTGAGTTCTTCAAGGTAGGAACTCTACCCCATTGCCAAAGACTGGACAAGAGGACCAGCTTAGGAAATCCTCCAACTACCTGACCCTGAGAAGTGTCTCTGGGGACGTGCAAGAGCCCTGCATTCAGATGTCACTGGATGGATGGCAAGGGAGACGAGAAAGAGCCCTTGGACCCTGTCCTTCCCCCTCAAGCAGAGCACTGCCTTGGAGAATAGATGGTTTATTGTTCTTTGTCTCTTTGGTGTGACATTTTTTCCCCAACCATAACCCACTCCACAATGGAGAGAATATGCAGAAGGGGTTAGCACAGAAGGAGTTCAGAACCATTGAGCTCTGTAGACAAAGAGATTCTCTGTCAAAGAGATGAGGGCTCATCATGTCAAGGATGAGGACGCTGTAGGACAAGGGGCTTCTTTTCTTTCTTCTTCAGACCAAGTCTCCTTCAGGAAGCTTCCCTCATTGGCCTCCGACCACGTCTCTCTTTTTTCCTCCCCTGCTTACTCCACCACATGCTGACACAGAGCCAAGGGCAAGGCAGTGACAGAGTTGTCCTTTCCTATTTTGTGCCCTTTTGAAGAATACTGTCCTCTCATCCACTCATTCATTCACTTACCTGATCTGTGTTTAAGCCACTTCACTCAATACTATGTGTGGACCCTGGGGTGGGGGTGGGGGGCAGGGATATAAAAATCCTACTGCATACATATTCTTTTGGTTCACATTGTTTGCCCACATGGGGTTTATTGTTTAAATTAGTTGCAGTTAGGAAGTCAGGGGATTTCACACAAAAATCTATTTTTGAGGCTTCTCTTAAAAAATTGGAAAATCAGATAACAACAGATCTTCAGACTTGGTAACGATACCATAGTTGAATATCTGGCTGCTTTCAAATGCAGCGTGTATAATCCAATTGACCACAGTCTCTAACATTCCCCATTGTCTCCCCGAATCTGAAGCTGGGTGACAAGCTGCCATATATTCTTTCAAATAGTCAATTATTTTACTTATAGTAGATTTGAATAAAGAGTGACTTTTTACCCACGTCTCTACCAAAAGTGGGAAAACAAAAGATAGAATGAGAACTTGTAGTTTCAAGAAAGAGATAATTTCTTCCTGAAAGTAAAAAGTAGTCCTAAATAAATATGCAAATAATGTGTACTTTTGTCAGTGAAATACAAGTAAAGATACTATTGTGAAATTAATTATAGTAAGAATGATGGTTCGAGAAAGATGGGTACTAAAGTACTTGAACTAAAAACACAACTGAACTTGAAACAGGGCTTTTTTGTGTGTGTTCCTAAATTAAATATTGGCCACTGGAGAATGCAGCTGTGTGTTTCATAAAAATCAAGAAGTCTTCCAAGTGCTAACACTCTCATAGATGGCAAATCTATAAAAGAATGTCTCCTGAGGCTAAAAATATTGTGTTTCCTGAAGAGAACCAAGCACAGGCTGATGTTCAGGAAGTTGAAAAGTATGGTTAGAACTGAAAGGCTAAGTATACGAAAATTTCAATTAAGTCATGGAATTTTTCTATGGCAACTTATGAGATTATAAGCTTAAATAATACTATGTGGAGTAACTGCATTCATTTCAACATCATTAAGAATTAAGATGGGACTTTGGTTATGGTGCCTACAGTGTATTGAGGTAAATCATGTCAGACACTAATCCCATATAACAAACCACCCTGAAACTTAATGAGCTAAGTCAACAACCAGTTATTTATCTCAGGATCCTGCAGTTGGGCAGCGGTGAGCTGATTTGTCTGGACTCTCTGATGTCAGCGGAAGGATGGGTTTGGGCTGTCTGGCTTGTGATGGACTCACTTGGGGTGGCTCAGATGGTGGGGTCCTCTCCCATGGTTTTTTATCCCCAGCCAAATTAGTCTGGGCTTGGTCACATGGCACCTATTGTTCGCCAAACAGTGAAGGCAGATGTGTACAAACATCTGGAACTTGCACAGCATTGCTCCTGCCCCTTCTATTGGCCAAAACAAGTCACAATGCAAGACCACATTCAAGATGTACAGAAGCAGATTCCCTCTTTGTGAGAGGAGCTACCAAGTCACATTATAAGGTCATTCGTGCAGGGAAGGGAAGCATGTATGGCCATCTTTGCAATTTGCTGTAAGTCTTGCAAAGTGGAATACAGCCCGGGCAAACATAGCCAACAGAATGTAGATATGTTCCTACATTGGTCAGTGCTGACACTGCACTTATTAGAAACTGAAACTCAAGATGGCAATGTTTCACAGCGATAGGGAACTTAAATCCCGCATTATATCACTCACCAGAGATCAGTCTGTGCTAAAAAGTTAGCAAAGGAACACATCTCACACTCAGCAATTAAAACCATCAACTAGACGTGACTGTGAGATTAAAATATCAAAGAGATTAGCTCGTTACCTGAGACTAAGACACAGGGCACCTCTTCATGAAGTTCAAGAGCCGTGCTTGTCACATGGCACCAAAGGGACTAGAAAGAAAGTAACTTGCTCTCATCAGCTGAGGAGCAGTCTGGCCTTCGCTCCCCGCCAGAGATTAGGTCAAATACGTGACCCTTTTAGCAGATGATACGATCCATTTA